GTTATTTGGAAATAAAATAAAATAAAAAGAGATGCATTTATCTTCTTTCCTGATCTGACACAAGCTTTTAGTCCATCAGGCACGGACAATTAACTGATCAGGTGAAAACCGATGACCTATTTAGACTAAAAGACTTTTTCTTTTAGATGTTTTGATGCTTTGAAAAAAAAACTTTCTCCAAAGGTTTGATTAAAGAGATGAAAACATTTTTTATAGCAATAAACAGAAGATGTTTATAATGATGATGAGTGATGATGAGTGATGATGAGCGATACAATGGAGACCATGCATGGATCACTTCACAGAAGCAGTGTGTGTGTTATGTGTATGGCGGGGGGGTGGACTTGGGTGCCACCACGCTTTGCATCTCCCAGATGTGCAAACCATATGCTCTGATTGAAATGAAAGCAAAAAAGAAATAGTGCAACATGAAAGGGGTTTATAACTGTGTAAAGACGGTTAACAGTCAGTACAGATAGGGTAATGGCCGAGAGAGGCCACATGAAAAGGAGGAGGATGTTGGTGTGCTTTTCTTTTCTTTTCTTTTTTTTTCTTCTTTTTTTTTCTTGCACCACTTATTCCATTTCCTGCTCATAAGTTCATCGAGCAGATGGGAACCAAAGGCACAAGGAAGTTTAGATGTTCTGCCCCACAGCCCATTGTATATGATGCATGTAACTGCGTAACACTGCGCTGTTATCATTTACAGAAGCTTTGATGCAAAGCAGGAGGTCACAATAACACAGGAGGGGAAAAAATGGCTGGAATACAAACATAAAAAAAGGTTTTYGTCAACATGTTTTAATTCAAATCTGTATTTCTATTTAAAATTAAATTTATGAAACTGAAGCAGGTATTGCAAAAAAAATAAAAATAAACAAAATCCAACATATTTTCCAATATTTACCCCCTGTTTGTGTCATGATATCAGTATTTATCTGCAAAATAAGTATATTGCAAAATTATGTAAAAGCAGTTGATTTTAAAAAAAGGTCATCTGCAGTTCTGAAAATGTGGTCAACACTGCCCCCTCCTGGTGCTTACTTAAACTGCAACAAATGAGTGTTCAATACAAAAACTATTATACTTTACAAGAACAATAAATAAACTTTACAAAAATATTTATAGTAAAACATGTTAAAAGTCCTTTGGAAAAACAAGCTTTTATTTCATATCTATGTTAAAAAAAGGTGACATGGGCTGAACTGGCTGCTGCGTCTCATCTCCATCAGTCTGTTGCTCTACTCAAAGTCGTGTTTACTTAATACCTATCTTGTCTGTGTCTGGATAACATTACCACCCTCCCACACACACACACACACACACACACACACACACACACACACACAC